GGTTTGATGCTACGTTCTGGTTCTGCAGATTGTAAGCAGGATTCAACTGAGAATCAAACCCGGGCAGATTCACCCATCCCTGGTAAGGTGGGTTCCTAAAACTGCAACCCAGACATCAATCAAACCTGAGAGGGGTTCAAATCCATCCTCGCTCCATCCAAAAGATTATCTTTAATAACATCAATAAATAAAAAGGTGACATTTGCAGAATCTTTATTGTATATAGAAATAAAGTGAAGTTATAACAAAGTACATGACTCCACCTAGGGAGGATTCCATGATGGAACGTTGTCCTCTCTCAGTCTCAGCGCTGGGTCTGTGGGGTTTTCTGTACATGACTCCACCTAGGGAGGCCTCCATGATGGAACGTCGTCCTCTCTTAGTCTCAGTGCTGGGTCTGTGGGGTTTTCTGTACATGACTCCACCTAGGGAGGATTCCAGGATGGAAAGTTGTCCTCTCTTAGTCTCAGTGCTGGGTCTGCGGGGTTTTCTGTACATGACTCCACCTAGGGAGGCCTCCATGATGGAACGTTGTCCTCTCTTAGTTTCAGTGCTGGGTCTGTGGGGTTTTCTGTACATGACTCCACCTCGGGAGGATTCCAGGATGGAACGTCGTCCTCTCTTAGTCTCAGCGCTGGGTCTGTGGGGTTTTCTGTACATGACTCCACCTAGGCAGGATTCCAGGATGGAACGTTGTCCTCTCTTAGTATCAGCGCTGGGTCTGTGGGGTTTTCTGTACATGACTCCACCTAGGCAGGATTCCAGGATGGAACGTTGTCCTCTCTTAGTATCAGCGCTGGGTCTGTGGGGTTTTCTGTACATGACTCCACCTAGGCAGGATTCCAGGATGGAACGTTGTCCTCTCTTAGTATCAGCGCTGGGTCTGTGGGGTTTTCTGTACATGACTCCACCTAGGCAGGATTCCAGGATGGAACGTTGTCCTCTCTTAGTATCAGCGCTGGGTCTGTGGGGTTTTCTGTACATGACTCCACCTAGGGAGGCCTCCATGATGGAACGTTGTCCTCTCTTAGTCTCAGTGCTGGGTCTGTGGGGTTTTCTGTACATGACTCCACCTAGGGAGGATTCCAGGATGGAACGTTGTCCTCTCTTAGTCTCAGTGCTGGGTCTGTGGGGTTTTCTGTACATGGCTCCACCTAGGGAGGATTCCAGGATGGAACGTCGTCCTCTCTTAGTCTCAGCGCTGGGTCTGTGGGGTTTTCTGTACAAATACCTGCAGGGAGATATTTCGCAATAATCTGTATATATTGAAGTCAGCAGGACAGCACTGAGTGCTGTGTGAGCCATCCACAGGTGAGCTGACTGTGATCCATTATTGCTGTACACAGTGATAATAATCTGACTTCAGTGTCTTCTTCCCAAAAATACAATCTGGATGTTCCGTTAGCTGCCTGTCTTGCTGCACAGTAGGTACACATTGTTTGGGGTACATACACATTGCAAAGGTTGGGTAATCATCCCTGGGAGGTAAGTACACATTGCTGGGAGTAGATACGCATTACAGCAGGGCAAGTAATAAGGGGAAGCTTGTCAAGCTCTCTTTGTAGTATCTGGCAGAGATAACTGTAACAATGTGTATTATTGTTCTTATGATAGAGAATGTGTAAACCAAGGACAGGTGGCAGGAGAGCTCCGCATAGTCAGTACACTACTAGGGAGCAGAGCCGGGGATAGAAGGTATAGTAATAATATTGATAATGATATCAGCCCTCCTATCAGGTTTTATCAGAGGTGACACTCTGGGATTGGTGACTCCATTAGACATACCGGGGTCATTTCAGTCTGTAGGAGTTCAGAGGACAATAAATCTACACTGACATAGATAAGTACATGCTTCTTCCTGCACAGAGGGGGTCTGTAGATTGCTGAGTAATTTGCTGTGTATTTTAGGAGAATTTTGGCTTAGCAGCTCAGAGAGTACAATAGAGCGTTCCCACTTTGGTAGAATGTTGCCAATTCCTACGTTTTCCCGGTGAAATCGATTCTGCTGAAGTCAGAAATGAGCATTTACAATGGATTTTTCTGCCTCGACTCCCAATATCCAACTTACTATACAAAGTGTAAAAGTTGGACTTACAATTTCAATGTGTTTATGTTCCCCCGAGATATTGTGGAGGTCACATGGGCCCCAGTACAGAGAACATTCTCCGAAACCTTTGTCTTCATCCGGCCGATGTCAGTGAGAGATTCCAGAATAAAGATTCATCATCATTGTTATTATTTTATTGGCTGTAAAGACTTGTAAAGCCGGGAACTGACATTTCTTATGAAGAACAATGTTTGTGAACATCACAGAATTGAGATGGGTGACATTTACCCTCCTCGGAGTTCCTGGACTGGAGAGGTTCCATTCCGTCATCTCGGCACCATTCTTGGTCATGTTTTTGTGTTCTGTGATAGGAAACCCTCTTATTGTTCTCATCATTCTATCTGATGGCGGTCTCCATTCTCCCATGTACGTCTTCCTGTCATTGTTGGTCATCACAGACTCCATGCTCTCTCTTTGTATAGCTCCTCAGATGTTGGCCGTCCTTTGGATGAACTCTCGGGTGGTGGTTTTTAGTAGATGTGTCATCCAGATGTATTTTGTCCATTTCCTCACCTATATGGAGTCCGGAGTCCTGGTGGCGATGGCGTTTGATCGCTATGTAGCAATATGCCAACCACTGAGATACTCTGCCATTCTTACTGGTCCAGTCATCACCCGGATTAGCTTAGTGCTGGTTTTAAGAGGGGTGTTCATGATCGGCCCATGTTTCTATCTGGTGGCCCGCTTACCCTACTGCGGACATGAAGTGATTAGTAAATCTTACTGTGACCACATGTCCATGGCGGAGGCCTCATGCGGCAACACCACCATCAACGGCATCTATGGCCTTGTACAACTGATATTGACAATGGCATTTAATATTTCCGTTGTCATATTATCTTACAGGTTCATAATCAAAGCTGTGCTAAAACTGCCCTCCAAAGAGGCCCGGTCTAAGGCATTTGGCACATGTTCCTCTCATGTGTGTGTCATGTCATTCTTCTATATCCCAGGTAGCTTCACTCTTCTGGCGTACAGATTTGGGAAACGCATCCCACCCTCTATCCACTCCCTCCTTTCACTCACCTACCTCCAAATGCCTCCTATGATGAACCCGCTGGTGTACGGGGTGAGGACCAGACAGATCCGTGACCGAGTCTGGAAATTGTTTCGCAAGGGAAAAAACTGAGAATTAACGGCAACTTTCAGCTAAAGACATTTTCTTGTTATTTTTGGATGAAGTAGGAAAGGATTAGAAGCTCGGTGATGATCATGAGGTCTGAAGAACCCCAAAGTGAGTGTATAGAAGGGGGATTTGTACGAAACATAAAGCTAGTGCCCTCATTTCTTCATAATTTGCAATTCAGAGACAAAACAATTAGTGTTAAATCTCGTGTTTCTTGAGAGCCCAGCAGAGACCTGACACATTTCATATTACCCCCTAAAACAACCATGTGATGGGGGATGTGGGGGTCACAGAACACACACAGAGACAGAAAAGTGGTTTTTCGGACCCTTGACCAGGGGGTTCTTTATTAGGGGTTCTCAACATTAGGATACGGCAAGTGTAGGAGCAATCCGGGCAAAACACATGGCTAAAACACCAAGAGATAGCAAGGGCAACGTCCAGGGGCACAGGGCAACAATCCAGGCAGAGCAAAGGGGTAACAGCAGCAGGGCACAGGGCAACAATCCAGGCACAGCAAAGGGGTAACAGCCGCAGGGCACAGTACAGTTGGAGTCCAGGGACACAGGCAGCGGTCCAGGCACAGCAAAGGGGTAAAAGCAACCAGGTACAACAAAAGAGGGTCACGACTCACACTTAAGGCATCAGGTCACTCCGCAGAAGAGGGATCCACATGGGATGGTAAGGCAGGAGTCTGACTGTAGAGCTGGTCTGTGGAGCCTCTTCAGTGTTCGAGCAGGACAACAGTTCACAGCTAGTAAGGCCCTACAAGTCCCAGTAGTCCCTAATCAGGGAACACACATTCAGAGCTAGATGTTCCAGCAGTCCTCATCTTCTTCTAGTCTCTTTCCAATTAGACCCTCCAGCCATGAGTATCTCATGTCTAACTCTGAAGTAAAAAGAAGCTCTGGCTACTCTGAGCACAAGGCTGGTAATTGTACCCGGAGTCTCGGCATTCTGCTACCGGAGACCAAATGGCCGGTGACAAAGAGTCTAACTTTGTCCTGGTTTAGGATACAACATCTCCTGAGCTTCCTGCTGAGAGGAGCCTCATCTCCAGACCCCCAGTGTGAAGGACTGCGTGAGTAAATTATATAGATCAGCTGACTGATTAACATGAGGCCTTCTGAACATTGGTTCTTCGAGGTTGTTGATTTCCAAACACATCTAATATTTCTGATCTACGTTACAAACCAGCTCGGGCACATCAGGTTGAATGAAAAGCACTCAGAGCATGGTCTTCAAATCCTCAAAAGTCTTGTGATTAGGCCCCATCATAAAATGTCCATGTCATAAGACTTCTAGCAGAGCCCCTCACAGGCTCTAATGTGTCCTGGTCATAATTGGGGGTTGTAAGTTCCCATTAAGCCGGAGCCTGCTAATCACTATAGGAAGAGTTTTCAGAAAATACATATCCTGGTTTGGGGTTTGTTGTGTCAGGGATCTGAACGCCTCCAGGTGGCGCTGGAGCAGATCCAGCAGTTCCAGTGCTCCCCTGCAGGTGTCTCCAGGCAGCCAGTGGTTGTCAGGGACCTGAGCGCCTCCAGATGGCACTATGACTCTGGAACCAGGTCCTGCACTTCCAGGGCTCACCTGCAGGTGTCAGCAATTAGGCACCACCTGATGCTGATCTGGGAGGGTATTTAATCCCTCCCTGCAGTGAGCCTGGTGCCACAGTATTGTCGCCATTACCTGTGACCTGTTTCCTGCACCCTGGTGTCTCTTTGTACCCTGACCAATGGTCCGTGGCTCCCCTCGTGTTGCCTTGCTCCCCACGTTCCCTTGCCCTGTTACCTTTTGTGTGTGATTATGTTGTGTTGCATTTTAGTTGGCTATTATTAGTTGCTTGTGGTTACTTGTTTTCAGTGTGTTGAATAAACTATATGCTCATAAGCATTGTCTGGTGTGGTCACACATTCGGTCCTCCCGTATAGATACCGGTACGCGGTGTGGGGACACCCGTGCACGGTATCTCTGACATGTTGTTTACCAGAACCAAAATGTATTCATATTCCATAAATCCTGCTGAGATGAAGTCACATTCAATAAACACGATGACATGGATGTATAAGAAAATAACCATCAGTGAGACATCAAACATGTCTATATGACGAGGTGCAGGAGGCAGATGGGACACATCACCTCTCATAAGGAGAATATGTAAAACAATCACATAGCAGTCAGGAGTGTGTTTACATCCCCCCAGCTGATTTCAGCTTTCAGTAATCACTTCCACACCCCACACAACCTCCCTGCCATGTATCCAAGCCTTCTCTGCCCCTTCTGTATACCTGGCATGGTCATGGTGGGTGTCAGCGGGAAGAGCGGAGGGAGGTCAGCAAACATCCATTCACTGATCTCCCGCCTGGTGAATGAACCTGGGAGCAATGAGGATTTCGTCACTTCTAGTTTCTGACCGGTCATTCCCCAGTCGCTGTGCCAGGGAGGAAGAACAATCTACACTTCATCAGCTTCATTGATGTCCCTAACTTATATTAGGAGTCTAATCCACAATGAGAAGGCCAGACCTGGGAGGATTATCATTTGGGGGTGTTCAGACCCCTTCCTGGTCTGCAGTGTGTGAATCCAGAAAGCTTCACGCTGAAGTAAAGATCCATCTCCACCACCAATGGGCTCATCCAATGGCCAATTACCATGCCACCAAGTTTGTGTGTCTGGCGAAGTACGTGGGCACTTCTATGTCATGATTAATGGGTTTCCACTGGCTGTGCAGACCGAGGGCCACACGTGTGTCTGTCTGATGTTTTTGGAATTGTCATTTAAAGGGCCCTGAGGTCAGAGGGACAATGAAACAGAAAAATAAAACTGAAATCATCTCTAATGAAAGATCGGTCCCGAATGTGGGAGCGTAAAACACGACTCACAGAATAGGGGGCTACAGATCGTTACCAGCTCTTATGAGGAGGTCCGGTCAGGTTATACTGCGTCTACATGTATGTAGGGAACAGTAGAAAGGCATCATGGCACACTCACAAACCAGCATGTAAAACAACTTGTCTCACCACTAAGGATAATGACAGAGGTTTGGATACACGTCTTCTGCAGAGGATGTGAAAGCCGCACTGCCGCGCCAAGGCACCTCTTATAGTGCCGTCCTAACTCTAAACTATGAGAGTCTCCATCTTGGAGCACATGGGGCAGAAGATATCAAATTGGGTGCAGGTTTGTCAGGAGGACGCCCCACCTCCTTAAAAGCACAGAAACACACAAGGGATCCCGCACATCCCAATGGCAGCTGAGAAACCCCATGCGTCGCTGCACCAAATAGGTAAAGCAAAACAAACGACAAACGCACTCAACAATTTGTCACCAGTTATACAGTAAGGTGCACACGGAATGGGCTTTGAACAGTAAAACAGTAGAAAGGCATCATGGCGCACTCACACCAGCCGGCATGTAAAACAACTTGTCTCACCACTAAGGATAATGACAGAGGTTCGGATACACGTCTTCTGCAGAGGATGTGAAAGCCGCACTGCCGCGCCAAGGCACCTCTATATACATGTATGTAGGGGACCCCTGCACACCAATCCGTCCCTTCCATTATGATGTGTCCGTGTCTACCAGAGATTCTCTTGTTATCATCTGAAAGGAAATTACGAGTTTGGACTGAAGGACCCGCTCAGTGGAATCCATACGTTGGATGGGGGTTACCGTGGGGAGCTATCCGGAGGGATCGAGGGGAGCCGGGGACTGAGTGTGACGGACTGAACCGTCACTGGGGCTGCTGGAGGAGTCTAAGGTCTAGCCTCCTTCCTACTGACTATGGACCTAGAACTATGGAGACTCCCCTTCAGACCTCTTGGGGTTACATGGAACTATTCTCCGAGGTTCATGTGTGGAGTGACAATACTTCCCCTGACATTACATCTAAGTGACCCCGTGTTAATTATAGCAGCAGGCTGTCTGGGGGAGCGGCCATTGTTTATAGTGATAAAGCTCTTATCTAATTAAGGACATTCATTAGGTTCAAAGAGTGTCTGTGCTTAAGGAATTCCAATGCGGCACCCGGCTGTCTAGGGGTGGGAACTGTTCAACGCACTGAACTTCTATCTGATCCTGTGAGGTATAAACTCTGCGCTCTTCTTCAATAAACCAGATCTTGGTTTCCCCTTCAACATCGGTGTTGTCTGATGTTTGAGGAGTTTCTGTCCTAATACATTGGTTCCATCCAATAATTGGGCAGGTTTGGGCTGAGGTCACTGGAATTCTGACAGAAGTACCCAATCAGGGTTTCAGGCGGTCCGTCACACTGAGGTCCTCTACATACATATAAACGCAGTAAACGTTCCTCATAAGAGCCGATCCCGGGGAGGAATATAAAACACGGCCGGACAGGAAGGGGTTAACATCTCCTTTCATTGTGTCAGTATTCTTCCATGGGCTCTCGTTGTCGGGGGAAGGGATGGGTTTACCTGCCCATAGAATATCACAGCACTACAGTGATGGCGATATGTGACATCTGGTACATTCACGGCGGCATGTGAATGATTCCCCCGGGGGGTCAGCCACAGTTAAATACAGATACTGAAGAGACGCAGAGCAGAGGGACAGAGACCTCACACCTCACCTGTACACAGGTATGTACAGGGATCCTTCATGTCACAATTCTAGGGGGGGACTATATATCATCACAGCTCACCTGTACACATGTACGTACAGGGAACCTTCATGTCACAATTCCAGGGGGGGACTGGACATGATCACACCTCACCTGTACACAGGTACATACAGGGATCCTTCATGTCACAATTCTAGGGGGGGACTGGACATGATCACACCTCACCTGTACACAGGTACATACAGGGATCCTTCATGTCACAATTCTAGGGGGGGACTGGAAGTGCAGAACACG